ATATTATAAGAAACTTTGCCAGAGAGATACTTTGCATATTTCAAGTAGTTTTTGACATTTTCAAATAATTTTAACTAATCACTGATGATTCCTTATTTATTTAGGAAAATATTTAATGTAAGAAGAATCAAGAAATCATTCTTTGTTGAGAAGCTGGTGATTCTTTTTCTGCTACTTTTTGTATCTTATCATGTAGATATGCTATAAAAATTTTAACTGTGAAATATTTACAATGATCGAAATAATATATGATTAAAAATAATATGTAAACAAATATTTCCAGAATAAGGGATGAAGTGACATGAAATTTTAGTTTCATGGCAAAATTATGTTGGCCTTTGTTTGGTAAATGAGATATGGAAGGTAATGAACATTGATGACCATACTTGACAAATTAATTCTATTTTTTCTATTTTTGAAAATAGCATGAAAAAATATTAAAAAAGATAAATTTTTGATTTTCTGTATAATACTATAATGACTACCCACAGCATTTCTTCATTTGCAACAATCTTTCATGAAATATTCCCCAGAGTTTATCTATTAGTTATCTATCTGTCAGCATTATTTTTTAACTGTCATATTCCCGTTAAATTGGTATATTTGCAACGAAATCAATCATCGCTAGATATTCCAGAAAGTTAATCATCCCTTTTAAGTACAGTTTTAATAAGGAATTTCCTCAAAAATAAGATAATCACAGATAATTTTTTATCAAAAAATTAAAAATAAAAATAATGAGTTAACATTTTATCATTTAGCTAATTTATATTCACATGCAATTACAATTTGCGAGTTAAAAATACAAGCATCATTTTCTATTTCCTTAATTTATTCCCTGGAAGAGCAATCATTAGAACCAAATCTTTATCAGTTGCCTGTTACATTATGCTTATGATGATTAGGATTTCTTGATAAATTGCTATTATCTAATCGACTATTATGACATTCTCGCATTAGTCTTATTTTGCGAGAATTGCCAGCTCGTGATACGTTTCACTCGTTTTACTGAAAAACAAAATACGCGATAAAATGACATATCTGTTAACCAATTTTGATGACATATTATTGAGGATGATAGGAAAAGATAATTTTCAATAACTTTTAACCTAAAGCATATAAATCAAACAATCCAAAGGAGAACTTCATAAATTGTTTTAACTTCTATCGTCCACTGTCACATATTAAAAATCGAGTAAAATAAGATAACTATCTGAGCTGATAATAAATAGAAATTTAATAATGCTAATTAGATAAGATATCATTTCTCTATGGTTGTCAAAAAACTTTAAACGTAAACTGAAACTTAAAATCACCATTTGTTTTAATGACAACATCGAAATCCTCGTTGATGTTTCCATTTTTCATCCACATATGATCTTTTGGTGTCGAAGAAATGCTCTGTGAGTAGTCGACTATATTTGTTTCTTCAGTAGAACAATTATCAACTTTACCCTCAAGTACTACATCTTCCAAAAATAAAACAATTTATATTCATTTTACAATTTTGATAATTAGAAATTGTATATTATCTTTATTCATTGTCTCTAAAAATGTTTTCAACCCATTTTTTCCTATCGATTTGATCAAGCCATTTTCAGAAGAGCACATTCTTATTTCATTTAATCACGTGAGATATTATGTTCTTAATAAGTTCTTTTGCCTATCAGGATATTAAGTACCGCATACATCATCTCGTCGGCTAAAAGCACTTTTCGTTCATTCTAATCGATAAGTGTGTGTTTTTAGAATGTGGTAAAATTAAATATAATAAGATTAGAAATAGAGAAAAAAACATTAAGATAAAAAGTTTCATTCCTCTATATACGGTAGGATGAGATCGTTATAAAATATGATAAAATGAAATCAATTTGACAAGCTATTGTCAAATATTTGAAAAAATTTTGAACATAATTATAGAATACATAAATCTCATCAGTACTTTCTTTCGTAGAAATATTTTCATCATCGCTTCCATTACGATTGTACTGTTAATTATAATTGCAGTAATGATATTGTTGTCATCCTGTATTTCGTCATTAATTAAATGCTCCTTGCTGTTATCAACATCTTTCCATTCAATTATTCTGTCCCTCTGAGCAATAATATTTGGTGCCTGAAGAGTTATTCCTCTAACTTCCTCTCAAATCTCAGAAATTATTTATTTATAGATTTTAAAATTTTCTAAAAATAGTGAACGATTATGAATATGTTTAACAAAAATTTTAAAAATATTATTGTATTCACTATAATTTTTTTGATTGTTCATTTTTTTCAAAAAACCTGATATAAATATCGTTATCCTCGAGAGTTTCATTTATGGTACTTTCATTATCACTGTAATCAACATCATCTGTTTCATTATACCATTTTTCTTCTTCATTACCATTTCCTCTGTCTACATCTGTTGCTTAAATATAATAACAGTAACTTATAAATCATATTTCATGTATCTCTTTTTCTCACATTATTGTAGAGGATCAACTTGAAAATGCGCTTACATGCTGAATGGAGGAGAATGATTCGTCGTGCTTCGAAAGCAACGATCCATTATAATGATAATCGATACCGATCGAATCATATAACTAAGAAAAGAACATAAAGAGTTCAATGTTTCTTCAAAAAAACTATTAAACTCAAGAAATGCACACATACAATGCATGCATAAACTTAATATCGTCATACTGTTTGTTTCATATTTATAGATCAGTAATTTTTGTCCAAAAATTTACTGACTTGATGTTCATGGGTCATAGGATTATAATCAAAAAAAAAAAAAATCCTTATCCACTACTTTCGATGTCACTAACATGCTGATATATACTGGGCGGGTTTACAATAAAAATGCTGCAAAATAAAAAAAGATTTAAAAAAGACTTCATTTCAGTATTTTATATTAAAATTGAGAAACATATAAAAAATAGATTGTAATATAACGAATAAATCAAAATTGAGAGACTCAATAACTCTTGTATAGCAGTCGTTATATGGTGGAATGATATCAAAATATGCAATATGTAAGCTGAATATAAAATCGACACAGAAGTTATTATTTTGAAATTCACTTGTGAAGATTAATTATTGTCAATGCTTTAAGTTCGAATGTGCTAATAGTTTCAAGCATGTAACACTCTCTATAATAATAATAAAAGTTTGATTGGTCAAATGGTCTTTGTTCATTTGTGTTAGCCGTAAAGATTGTAAATTTAATATATAACTCGGAAAACTACAATAACAATAATCAAAATTTCCCAACCTTTTAAAATAGAATCAGCTATTTCTTTGAAAGTTGTTGAAATGATGGAATTGCCAGAATAACTTACGCAATATGGTGCTTATTGATCATGCAGTTGCATAATAGATGCTTTCAATATTGTACCTTTTAAGAGAAGTTAACTATATCAGTTATTTCGTTCTACATATTAATCCCTCATCTTCGTGTTAGATCACTTGGAAATCTCTGAGAAATGTAAGCAATAAGATAAATGACACTTTAAAAATGAAGATAATTTAGTGAACTCTGATAGTGCGGATGAGAAAAGATGATTTATAGAGTTGAAAATTTTGATACAAAGATTCTCAATCCGTAAACATAGAACGATAGATGGATAGAGGTAATAAATATAATTGAAACGATCTAAGCGTGAAAAACAACTAATACAGAAGTACTTTAACACTGCTCTGCTTATATTTGATTTCGAACTATATTTCTGTTGCCAAAACCGGATTTGTACTGCTGAAGGAAATTCATCAGAATGATACTGTCAAAAATGATCCCGCAACAACATTTTATAAGTGAATACTTTTCAACATCTCGTATATAGATTCAAAATGACACATCCCGCCCATCTCTACAATATTGTCAACCGTTTACAATCTCTTTAGAAATAAAAATTAAAAAATCTACAACACAGAGTAAGTTACTCGAAGTAAATAAAATCTAAAAGACGGTAAGGGAAAAAAAGACCAATTCAGTATAATCTAATCCTAGAAAAATAGGTGACTAAAAGATTAAGCTTGAAAGTCAATATAGTGAATTCAGAGCAGTTTACTCCCCATCTAAACGTCCCCAATTTCTTTCACAGTTTTCCTTTCGTTCAGATTAATGCATATTTAGATCAAATTCCATTCACACTGAGAACTGTCAAACATGGTACTCATTTCCTGGTCTATTAGTCACTTAACTGTCGCCAATGGACTGATGGTGGATCCAAACAAACGGCATCAAAGTTGCGTCAACCCGTCAAGCAAATGAATTTTTTTGTCCATTATGTCTGTTTGCTATCCTCTAAATTATTTTTTAAAAGTGTTTATGCATCCTTGCCATACTTTAGCATTTGCTGCAGTACTCAAACATTAAAGATAAAGCTTCCACGAGATTCAAAAAAGTGAAACAAGCTTTATTACGAAGTAAATCTACATAAGGTTCGAGAAATAAAAATTAATTAACATCAGTTCCAAAACAGAAAATTCCGATTTGTAACTGCTGCATTAACTCATGCTGTTCAATAGGATGAGACACTGCCAACAACCTAAGGTGGGATTTTGTGCCTGAGCTATGAGACTAATATCGTAAAGCACTTCTAACAATTTCTTTCCTTTTCTGCCACACATAGCGCTTAATACCTCACAATAACGCAACGCAACTTTTCACAAATTAAAACAATCTATTGAAAATCAAAAAAAAAAACATGAAAATTAATACCTATAAATTAGTTTCTATTCAAAAGTTATAATACTTCTTCTCCAATATTTTCCAGAAACGTTAATATTTTTGCATTTTTATGTCAATGAAAATCAATTTTCAGCAGGCATGGACATGCAAAAAGACAAAACATTAATTTACACGAAAATTTTGTTGGAAGCAGCACGTAAACAATATACTGATCTGAAATAAAAATCTTATCAAACGTAAAAGCACGAAGGAGTAAAAACATGAAAATTGAAAAATATGAAATGAAGGTTAAAAAATACGAAAACATGAAAATTTATAATCCTGATCAGAATCCATATTTTCTCGCCGAAGATCGTTTGTTATGCCTATTCACAGACCATTGCTCAGCAAGTTGTTCTTCTCTAGCTACTGCCTAAAATATCACTTCCACTCGTTTGCTATCTTGAATAGATAGTGATAAAACTAAATGAAAGTCGATTAAAAAGATAAAAACAAAATATACGCTAAGCGCAATATGAGGAAGGCAAAATACTTACAACACTAGCAAGATATGTGATCTGATGTTTTCGTCGCGCTACCGTGTTAACAGTATCTTTGCTTTTCGGTACATTAGCAAGATGTGATAAAGTTGCTTCAGCAAGCGATTTGTTATGAAGATTTTTGAGAAGCGTCGCATGCACATTTGGGCCCAAAACCTTGAAAAAACTCCTACAGTTGACATTGCAAAAACTGCATACATCACAAAGATCATTGTTCATTTAAGAAACTCATATTAAAAATTAAGTGGCGACGATTTGAAAAAAAAGTTCACCTTATCAACATTAACATCAATTATGTTTTCCACAGCCTTCGCAGCATTGGAAACCGTGCCACCCAAGTGTGCAACATCACGCGAATAAATCATACATAAAGCTTGCTAAAAATAGTTACAATTTAAGTCTTCGTAATATTAACAACAGTATCAAATACGGCATTCAGAATATTGCAAGATCTAAACAACTGATCACAGAAACTTACACTGTCATTAATAACACCAGACACCGTAGTTGAGGGAGATGTATCAGCAGTAATTTCTGGATGAGAAATGAAAGCAGATATATTATTTTCAACTTTCATATCATCTGTTAATTCGACCTGTAACTCAAAGCTCCAATATAGATAATATAAGCAGTAACGAATTTTATTAATGTCTGAATCGATTGCATAATTCAATATTCTAACCAGGAATTAAAATTATTCTGATGTTCCTAAATTATAGCACATGCAATAAAATTGCTGCCAACAAACCTTCACCCCATTATAAATATTACGCACAACTGTTTTCTTTGATGCGAAGCAGCCTGATGTGGCACCGAGCCACAAATAAAAAAACAAACATGTTTAAAAATGCATGTCCTAAATATCCACCCAAATCAATGTATAAACCAGACCTCTTCAAGTTTTTTGTCACGTGAAATGTCTGAGACAGTTGTAATATTTGATACCACAGGAGGATCACCAACTGTTTTAAGACCAAAGAAGTCTATTGAATCATGATCTTCATCTGATGCATCGTCATATTCTTCTTCAGCAGATTTCGTCTCTTTCGAAATTTCTGCGACAGCGCGAGCCTATAAAGCAATTGACATTAAACGATACACTATGAGATCAAAAACAGGATCAACAAAAAAAAAAAATAAAGCAATTTGCAGTAGTGAAGGATGTACATAAAGGAAAAAAAAATTACAACTTCAGGTATTTTAGCATTTCCTGTAGAACGTTTATTGCTGGACATAAAAAGATTTAAGTTCCTTGAAACTCTTGAAGCATTCTTAGGTTCAGGTAAGATTGCGAGGAGATTACTTGATGAAGAAGCTGCCAGAGAATAATTCGGTTCCTAAAAGATTAAAATTATAACTATATGCACACATGGAAATCAGAGCTGTACAGCGCATACTAATAACAGATTCGTTCGCTGTAAGACACCTTTAAGTACCAAAAAATTTCCAGCTCAGTTATAGCTTCCTGAAATGTGAAAGACAGCTTGGCACTTAAGCCAGCTGATTCTTCTACTCAACGCTATCGGCTAGTCAACTAGAAATGTTTTTGAGAACGTATATTTTACCTCATCAGACTCTCCTTGTTTTCCATCACTTATTAAACCTTTTAATCCACTAAAAGCTTGTATGACGACCATCTTCTTTGCATTCTTTTGGTTATTTACGAGATTTTTACTACAAAGAAGAAAAAATTAGTGTGTGACAAAAACAGTCTTTAAATCAAATCTTTTTTTTAATTGAACGAGAGAATCAAAAAGCACATATTATGATAAAATTCAGAAAATCACAAATTATCTGAACTATGTTACTGCCCAAAATAAGGAGGAAATTCTTGTAATAATAATAACTCCTCTATTTGCGAAGAATTTGCGGCATACAAGTTGTGAGACAATTTAGAGAAAAAATGCAAAAAATTAGTGTATGACAAAAGCCCCTTTTACCTTGAATGATGGTTTTCCGAACTACTATTTGTATGGTGTGTGCGATGACGTTTTCGTTTTCTTTTAGCTTTCTTTGCTAGCTTCAGTTCCCATTTTTTTCGTTTCACCAAGTCATCTAACTCTTTCTCCTGTTGTACAGGCTTATCAGCCAAAGGTATTGCAGGCGGCAAATTTGTTCGTATTGACGATCCCTCTTCTGAAAATATAAATGACAAGTTAAATTATTGGTCAATAACATCAAATAAAATCATGTACCTCGTGAAAAAGAAATTACCATTTTTTGAAAAAACTCCTTCAATCCTCGGAAGGAAAAGCAAAATCAGACGGAACCAGAAGTAACAAAAACAAGCTAAAAGGATAAAAAAGCAGTAACAAATTACATCCTTACCGAAGACATTAAAAGAATGCAATAGATCATAAGCCTTACTAGCATTTATAATATCATCATAATCCTCGATCACAACATCGTCTTCTTGCTTGAATCCATTTGTTGTACTGTTGTCCGTGTTTGTGGATCTCCGATGTTTTTTACGAATACATTCTTCGCTTTGTGCTTCACCAATATCATCTTCATCGCTTCCAGCATAGTCAACCAAACCTAACATCTGCCTGCAACTTATTCAACCTTAATTATCTGGTTTTCAAGTTCTGCACATATGTTTACCACAGAATGTCTTCCCTCACTTTTTTCGAAATCAAAAGGTGTAAGTACTCAGCAACATAATGTGCAATTTTCAAATATTATCCATAGTAACATAACTCGTTAATTCACATCACTAATATCAAAATAAATCCTGACCGTCACAACACAACCAACCACGCAGCAGCGTCGTATACGTTGACAATGATGTCCGCACGCTATCATTCGAACCGCATGGACTATTATGAAAACTACATCCCATCGGTGATGAAATTATTTTATGGATAAAATTTGGATGGTTCAGAAGAAGTAAGAAAACTTTATGTCTTTTGAATTAAATAGAAAGAAAGAAGAAATAGATAGAAAAAATTTGTGCTATCATTCTAAATTTGTGAAAAAACATCAGACAGAAAAGAAGAATGAGGTATTGATAAAGCGAAACATCTGTAATTTACAATAGGCCCATGTCTGAGACTTTTCTCTAAAAAAGTGAATGGTAACTCGTGCCAAAAAAAAATAAATAGAATTTTCAGTATTACAAATCGTTTTGGTAGAATATGAATTATTAAAGCTAATTTTGTTAGTAAAACTGATCGATTATCAGAATTTGCAATGTATCAACGCTAGGTTAATAAGATTTTGCAGTTAAAACTAACAAATCAATTTCTTTGTTTCAATGATTATTTTTTGCAAGCGAAGAAAGGCGAAGAAAGTTTTATTCTGATAGTGTTTACTATGGATGATATGAAACTTACGATATCATTCCTTTAATTATGAAATGTCAAAGTATATTGGTTTGATTGGCTTTTTTTTTCCCATCAAGAACTTGAAATAAGTTCGCAACGTCTTTTTTAAATCAACAAATTGAAGTCTGCTGCAAATAAAAAAGTAAATTTTAAAATGGCTAAATATTGGAGAAATTTATTAAGCTAATATATGATTCTATTGCTTTTTGCACATTAGTGTGGAAAAAACGTATCAATTTGCAATTTTTCTAATACAAGACAAAAAAAAAACAGCAATCTTGAAATAACCAAATATCAAAGAATCGCATGTAACACACCAAATTTATATCATTCATATCAAATTTCATCACGTTATGATTAAATGTTAGTGGTGAATAAAGAAGATTGATGAAAATATCAACTGTTATTAGAAAAACGTCTTCCATGATATCTCATTTAATTTCTTTAATGTGGTATAAGGCTAACACATTTTATGGTGAAACATTTGGTTTGGAAGAAAGTTAAACTTGATGAATCATCGGTAGCTATATAATTATGAATTCAACACAAATGTGTGCTGGATCGTATTCGAGCTTGCTTGGGAAATCAACAGATCATATGTAATGCAGCTGTGCTATTATCAAAATTTGATGTTATTATCAAGATGATCTTTTTTATCTTATCCAGTACAGTAAAGTAGTGTGTATGCATTAAAACTTATCGATTCCTCTATATTAACATGTTCATAAGATGTCTTTTTTTAGCCGTAAATATAGTTGAATTTTGATCGAATTCAAAGATTTATCAAGTTCCAAAATTCTAAATTTTCATTTTTTTAATGTGATAAAATTTGATTCCATCTTTTAGAATTTGCGCGCAATTAATTTATCGATGGGAAAATAGTTGAATAATATGAGCGCCTTCTTGTTCTTTTTTCATTTGCAGTTATTTTTTTGAAAAAAAAGTAATTGGTAAAAATAAAATTCATTTATAGTCATTTCTTTGAAAAAAAAAAAATAATTGATAGAAATGAAAATTTTGTTTACTTCATAATACTTTGTATGCTGACTATTCAAAAAAGCACATTCATTCTTATCATTCTTTCACATTCCATTACTTCGGAAAGTATGCTTTAGTTTATTTCCGTTGATATTCGAAAGCTGTGCTCATACAAGCAGCATAGTTTTGTAAACGAACATAATTGTTGTGCTAGCATAACTCAAGCATGAAATATATTTGTCTTACTAACTTATAACCGTTATGTTTGCCAAGAAGCACTGAAATAAAGAATTTAAATCGAATTGCAGTGATAGTGTTAATGTTTACAATGTATGGATTTAAATTATTATGGAGATAATGCAGACTGCATTCGAAATATTAAGTTGTATTTTCACTGAATGAAATAAGAAATTCATCCAGTGGATTCTTTGTTTTTTGAAAACAAAAGAAATTAGTGGATAGTATTTTGGGGAAAGTTATATAACATTATTCGATATTCCTTTACACAAATTCTTTTTGAGCATCCTCAATACAGCATTATTTTCGGGATCTAGTAAACATATCAAAATTAGATGAATCTATTGTGGTACCAAAACAAAAACGAGAATTACCGGAGTAGGAATGTAAGCAGTGAAGTTTACTTAGCGCTGTAGGTTGAGTTTAACTTATTAAAATGCTAGCAATAAGAAATACGTTGCATTAAGTAAGTGAACAGTTGTGTTAGCTTAGTAACTTGTTTTACACTTTAAGTATATTGTTATTGGTAAACTTTAGAGCTTTTTATTACTGAATGTACATAAGAAGAAATTTTGAGAAAATTAGACAATGTATGAAATACAATTGATCAAATTTCAAATGCAATTGCTTGAATTTGTTGCTTACAAAAAAAGACAAAAAAAAAAAAACTCTTACAAATCATAATCTGAGATACGCTGTGATACAATAATAGAAAATTCCAAGCGGACAAGAAGATAATAATTATCATATTTTTCCGCTTTACTTGAAATTTTAAAGATTTGTAAATTTTTGAATTTTAAGATAGATCATATGTGTTTATTTTCATAAAAAAAAAGAAGCAAATCTATGCAAATGCAATTCGCCAATTTCTCGCTCGTTTCTGCTCATCTTCTGAATCATCGTATTCAAATAATTTTTGATTTTGTCGATAAAACACGCGTGAATCACGTGCAAAGCCACATCGTACTTCGAATGTTATAGTTGTATTGAGGCAATCACCTGAACGCCATAAATACCTAAAATATATACGTTGTAATTTTCGCTTTTTTTACGGAAGGTTAAAATTCTATTTAAAAAAAAAAGTATTTTATGTAAAAAATACACTGAGCACTTCCTTCAATGAAAATAGTAATCGTTAACTAACCAATCCTCACGGAATCTTTCGAGCATGTAATTGTAGTAAATGTTACAAGCATGATTCCATGTGGGCACTTTTGCCAGTACAGTTGTGTCGTCTGATTCTTCGCACATTATACGGCAATAAATTTTTGTTTCATTTCTTATCTAATTAATTTTTAACCATTTAGTGTATTTATTCATGCATAAATTATTAATTATTATAGAGGATAGGATAGGACAAATTAAATACGGTTATTTTTAAGGAGATATTATTCAGCAAAGTTCATCAACTGCCTACTCGATGCTTACCATGAAGTTCTCTGCAAGCCAACCGTTTATTAAAATATTTAACTGATAAGAATCATTTCATTTTTTTAATATCCATGTAACGGGAATTACGAGAGTTGTCTAGCCATCTCATAGCATTGGTGAAAAATATTTCATGCTGGAAGTTAAAAGCAATTCGCTAGATATTTCAAAATTCTTGCTTTTTTCCTAGTAAATTTTAGCAATAAAATCCAATTTCATAAAAATTGCTAACCTCATCAGTTTCCTCGTAACACAAAGGATTCAGTTCAGCTTTTGATTCTGGATTAAATAAGGCACAGCGTGATACTTGATGACCTGCTATGGTTTTACATTCCAATTTCCGAGTTGCTAAAATTTATTGAATGACCAGTCACAATAATTACTCTTTATCAGCTGTCATTTGATGTTTAATTTCAGTGAATTCTGGCAATAATAAATTTCTTTGTGTCACAATAGTTCTACAAGTGAGTAATAAGTAATAATTGGAAATATATCAATAAGCGATCCCACCAGGAATATGTCAGTTACATAACGATCACGTTTTTTTTCTGGAGACCTAATCAATTATCTAATTTTATTTTTTATTTGCAACTGCTTTAGTTTGCATGTGAGATTCTGAAGAAGACATTTTGAAGAATGAGAATAATTTCATTACAAAATTACAGGTAGAAATTAGAGAAAAAACGGAAGTATTATATTTTTTGCCAATGTGTTTTTATCATTAGGAGTGAAAAAAAAACCATCAATGAGTAATTTTTGTATATAAAAATAATTTACTTTATAGGATTAGAGATTTACAAATTATCTATGCAAAAATCTAAAGATGTTTAAGCAATATTACTTTAATTATTGATTTTTGCAGAACTTCATTATTGATTGCAAACTTACTCCAATAATACGGCTTCTTTGGAAGAGCGTCAGAAATGCCGAGCAGTAGGACACTTATAATAATTACTACTTGAAGAGTAACGTCCATTTGATGTCACTGCTTGGAACAGCAGCAATTAGGATAGCAGCAAGCGCAGAATACGACAGTGTCGAGTTGCTTTTGTGAGCATATGTGAATTTTCAGCGCCGTTTTACGGCTATTCTATTACCCGTTTATGTCCACTATTGTTGGTTGTTTATATTGTTGATTGATGAGAATGATTGTACCATTGACCAATTAACTGAAGACAGCAACAAAGACATTGAAACTGGTAGTTTGTGCGGAATGCTGATATCACTGAATCGTGACACTTAATATTCCATCAAATCTCTGATTTAAACAAATTGCTTAATATTGCCTAATCAAAAAAGCGAAGAGTTAATCATCATCATTTCTGATGATTGAAACTGCTGTCCTGTTGATTATCTCCAAAACAAGTTATGATATTGCCTTCTGTATCACTATCATTATTCGTTAAAAATCTCAACTTGCTTAAATTTTAGTATTGGATGCATGAAATATTGAAACTTCTTTGTTCAATGTTTAGTGATGTCCGTTCTGAAGTAGAAGAAACAAGTCTAACAGTGAGGAATAATCAGTACAACTGTTATTCTGCCGCCATTTCACCTAAATTCATTAATAGCATTTGTTTTGTTGATGCTTCTTTAATCAAGTACTTCAGAAGTTAAATTCGAACAATTTATATTGTATCAATATCAAATCGTTTTCTTTTCAATAAATTTAATTCATATGATAATACAATAAATACTAAAGCTTAATGATGACAATTTATAAAGCACAAACTTTACGTTTTGCACTAATTATCAATGATGGCATTTTAAATTTATGATTTAAATCTATAAAATCTAATTTTACATAAGCCTAGCTTCATACGTTCGAAAAAAGAATATGAGGTATTGTTGCAGTTGAGATATCACAATTTTCTGGTACCATTCTTCCACACTCATTATTAATTTGATTAATTTTAATAATTTTTCTTTCCTGATTTAGATCTCGAATCGCTTATTTGATAAGCAGTCACACAGGTTTGTCAGTTAAATTAGCATTTTTAATATTTTTGAAAAACTTTCTAAGGGAAAGTATTATCAGATGCAATTTTCATTCACTTCAAATGCGAATATACCAATAGAGAATGAGAAGCTAATTAGAATTGAGTAATTGAATATTTGAAGCGTTGCAGCAACTATATGGGGAAGTATTATAAATATACAATACGCTTTTTAACCATTCAAAACGTGATCTTCTTTGATAATGAAATTTATATTCTTTAGAAAATTTCCAATAATATTTGGGATAAACGTAAGAAGTGAGCTCCTACTTGCTTTTTGAAATTAGTTGAAGAATGAAGAATGTAAATATTCTACCTGATCATTTGCACTGCTTAATTGGCCACAGTTTTATGGTTCATTTTGAGATTGAAAGGAAAAGGTGAATGAAATGATAAAATGGCACGTAATTTGGTCGGTCATGTAAAAAAGAAGAGAAATTTTAAAAATCATTAAAAAAATGAAAAAATCGATGCGCCATTTACACAAGGCATTGTCATCAACGATCGATTCATACTGTCCCTTTCTTTATTTTATGGGTCATCAGTAAATCCCTGAATGAATTTAATGTTGTGGGAGTGTCCTTGTCCCATTCATGCCCATCATGCTTCCTCCACTTTTTCCTCCTCCCATTATTTCCTGCTTTTCGTTCTCCATATACCCTGTCCATGATCACTTTGCTACTTGATGAATAATATAAGGCATATTTTTGGCCATCTGATATTTCATTTCTCTTCCAATCTCCCTTTTCTTTTTTTCCAGTATTCACACATCCTATGTTAATCTTCATAAGAGCATTTGTCAATATCGGTCACTATCGGAAAGTGACCGGTGAATAGGTATTAGACAATGGATCATTGCATTATGCAACAGCATGAAATGATGATATTTTTCAAAATGGTCATTTCGTCATGATACGTCGAATGGTTAACGCATTATTCATCACAATTTTCTGACAAAACAAAGCTCGTATAAAATTTACGTTTACTTAGTGGAAAATCGGTCAAATGAAAAAATTTATGATTTCCCATGTAAATCTATGAATGGAACTTCCGCTTTCATCAGTCTTTTTATATTACATTGAAATATCCTTCACTCTTTCAAAAAATTACATTTGATTGCTGTAACGTTTCAACAACCGGATCATATTGGACATCGGAAGATTGCAATTCTAAGTGAAGTATGCTGCTAATCACTTGTCAGTAAGGAAAGCCATTAGTCAAAAGTGATGCTGTTTGCGGAGAATGTTTTTCTCATAGTAAGGGGACTGGAAGATTTGTTGAATTTTTGTCGACTTAAATAAGCCACGAAGAGTAAAATAAGTTTATTATCTTAGATTATCATAGCTTTTGATTCATAAAATCTTTGTAATTAATGAAAATTTAGATGGAATTTTACTCAAAATAATTATAAGTATGGAATGCGGATAGTATGGAAGTACTAAACTAAAATTTATCACCTTCTTTTTATCCAAATTAATGCTTGCATTCATGTCAGCTGGGGAGACGATTCAATAATATCCATGAAGATAACATGTTGTTTCTCATGTATCGCAGAGAAACAACATGCTATTTTCCTGGATACTATTGATGCCACATTTTTATACTCTTGTAATGGGCAATTTTCTCGGTAGCATATTGAGGCATATTTAAGCCGTATTAGCACATACTATATTATTTGCGTTTTTTTTTTTCGGCATTTGATCATGGAATAAATATTTCCGATGGCATGTTTTGAGAAATTTTATTCATTGGTAGAATTTTTTCAAATAGGAAAAAATCGATAAATGATTAATGGATGAATTTAACAGAAGGAATAGTACTTATTTGAAAAGTTTAGCAAAATTAAAAAGGGAATGTGTTGATAGATATAACAAATCATAAAATTTGTCGGTCAAAAATTATTGCTAAATTGAAAGAAACTTTGACTCATCCTAACACCGTTTTCAGAAAGAGATGTTTTGTTGTAAAAAAAAAAGTGTTTTTAACTTTAAACACTAAAGCTATCTGGGAATCCTTTTTAATTCCCCGTTTATCGTATCGCTGTATCTTCGAACTCTCAAGATAATAATCAGTAATATCAACCAAACGGGCATTGAATGAGTTTTCAGTTTCATTTGATAAATGGCAGAAAATATTGTTGTATCATTTTCGTCTATAGATTGCTATTGATAAGCGATGATTCGTAACATCGCTTTTTTACCTCCAACATTCTGCAAGCTTTTTGCTAACAAAGAAGAAATGAATCAGTTTTTTCCTATCACTCCATCATTGCGATATTGCATTATTAAACGTTCGTTACAAAAAGCAAATTCTCGAGAACATAAAGCAGTGTGATATTGTTTGCTTCATTTGTGGAATAACAATTAAAATGTCAAAGGGGAGGAAAAGGGAAAATAGTCCATCATACGGATAATAATAATTAAAATTTGGTTATTGTCAATAAATAAATTTCGATGATCAATGTATTATTATTCGTTCTACTAGTGATATTTAAGTTTTTATGAAAGCTTTTTTGCCGCATTTTCGTACTGGACTTGATATTGTTACCCCAGTTAAACAGATCATGCACAACTACTGCTAACTTCAGCGGTCATATAATTTGGAACATTTCAAACTGTACTATTCTGATTGTTGTTCAAATTGACTTCACTTTAACGTTTTGTTTTTTATTCCATAAATCAAACATCATTATTGCTTTACTATACATTCTTTATTATACTATTAATTTTATACTGTAATTGAAACAACTTGTTAACCGGCTAGTATAGTAGAGGTTAATTTAACAATTCAGTATTTTGGCGAATTCGGTTAGAAAAGAAAGCTAAAAATCTGATATGAATTACCAAAATGGATTCTATTTGTTCTTTGACTGAACTGTAATATAATATAAATGATGGAAACGTTAACGATTAGCAATACTATAATACTTGTAATATTCACATCTAATATTATGAATCTCTCCTATTTTTTGCAGAAATATGGAAGAAAGAAACAATGATTAAATTAAAAATTGCTATCTCAATCATATGTTCTGATGATATCATTAACTTGTTTTTTATAATCATAGGTTACAGAACTTTCATTCACGGTTAAGTTTTATATTTGGAAAGACTTTACAATTCTTTACAGTCATTGTGTCATTGTGGTGATGTAAGAAGTTATAACAGGAATCATTTGCAAAAAGTATTCAAGAAGCACTGAGGAAACTAAGAAAGTATAAAATACCGTTAAAAAGCATAAAATACCATTTTTTTTTTGGCCGTAAAAAAAATTAGATGTCAACGATAAGCTAGCCAAGTAACTTACACCGACTTCGGCATATGCCTCTTTTATAGATAGCTATATTATGTAAACAAATTATTATAACGTTGAATTGTTTTTTTAATTATTGTGCGAACTAGAAAAATCCAAGTATCAATGCATAAATTTATTCATTTCATTGAAATTAGTTGCCTTTTCTATGGTTTTATGCTCATGAAAATATTAATGGTAGTTTCAATTAACTGATCAAATTCAATGCCATTCCGGATTAAAATTATTAATTGCAATTTCAGTTAATTTAATCCGATTTAGAATGTTGTGTAACTTTTTTCCTTTTCTCTCCATTGGACAATTAATTTATTAAAATTTACGTTTCAGTGAAAATTTTCAACGATACTACAACAAACCATTGTTAGTTTGTAGTAGACATGAAGAAAAGACGAAGACGTATGAATATTTATTGCATATGGATTTCTGTATTGGCACTCACTGTTGTTTTTTATTTATCGACTTTTACTGAAGGTTTTGTTTACTTGCTTTTGTTTTTAAAAAGATTAACTGGTTGATCGACAAATACATTTCAACAAAATCATTTTTTAAAGACTTTTTTAATTAATGAAATTGTTATAGTATCATATCATTTGCGCATCTACAAAAGAAACACTAATTTGTTCGAGCAATATGTGGCACTAACAAATAGCGAACGAAATGGAAATGGCAATGATTATCGCTCGCAACACTGCCAAGTTCAATTTTCAAATATTACCATTAACTGAATGTTTGAAAAATGAATCAATTTAAGAGGCTAATTGGCTAATTTAGGTATTACATTTGGCATTGATAGTGTGTGGCAGTGTTCGATTGAGCTATCCTTTAACGACATTTATTAAAAGTATCCTACGTTATCGTCAACATGCTCTCGTTTTCCATTTCCTTGTGGATAATATTACTATGAGAGTTATATCGTTGTTATTCAGTACATGGCGACTGCCAGCTGGTAATTTATTAGATCTTTATTTTAAAATTTTTTTTCTTTTCAGTTCTCACTGAAAAAGTGTAATTCTCGTTATATTCCTCAATTCTTTATATTACAGTAAAAGTGGTATTTTATAATGCCTCACAATATTTGGATCGATTCTCATGGATTCCGAATCGACATTATTCTGGCAGATATAGCTTTTTGAAACTTATTTTAAACGACATTTTGCCTGCTGATATTGATAAGGTGTCGTTTTAATTTAGCATTATTGGTTATCAGAGAATGTATCGCACGTATATTCTGTTAAAATAAGACTCTTTCAAAACTTGATGTGTATAAATTGTAAAATGATAATGTAAGCAGCCAAGTAGTATCAAAGTAAGTTGTAATACTTCCTTCCAAAAGATTGCTGGAAGATTAAAAAAAATTACCGTTGCTGACTGGTCAAAATCAGGCGATATCTTTATCAACATTTATTATCAATTGATTGATTCAAGAGAACAGTTTGTCAGCTGCACGAATGCTAAGATCTCCATTTAGTTATTATTTTATTATTCAGTGAAATTCACTGAGCGCTACGTTGCAGTGTACAATTGAGCAATTCTTATCATTTTAGTGATTAAGATGAAAAAAATTTTGCATTCTCCAGGTGATCGTACTTGATACAGATGCATTGATAATGGATGATATCGCCCAGCTATGGTCTTTTTTTTTAAAGATGACCAATTTACAAGCTATTGGCTTAGTTGAAAATTTATCTGATTGGTACTTATTCAACACAAGTACCTCCGAAAGAATTGTCTGGCCAGCATGGGTACGTTTTAGTGCCACGATTAGCAGAAGAAAAAGCTATTTATTCATAAATAAAAAATTGTAAGTAGTAAACCTATGATTTTTCGAATATTCTTAAGTTTTGATGTAACTGTTTGAAAAAGTTTTTAAAATTTATAGGGATTATTTTAAATAAAAAAAAAAAAGATTGTAGGGACGTGGATTTAATAGTGGAGTGATGTTATTGGATTTAGTAAAGCTAAGGAATATAAGCTGGTCACACATTTGGGAAGAAACTGCTTCAAAAAATATTAAACAATATGGTTCAACTGAGCTAGCAGATCAGGTATACCGTTCCCTTTAATATTCTTTGCACCAAATAAGTGTATCTTCGTTGCAAACATAAGTCACATACGTTTCATAAAATAGGTCATATGTTTCACTTTCATAGATATAATCAGGCGTATCTTTTTTGAACTGCCTGTTTCTACTAGTAATCCATCATATTGATGACCTACTTTAGGGTTATTTTTCTCCGAATATCAGCTATCAGTACTCTCTATCTCCCTGGAATAGAAGTGGAACTAACTACTGCCTTAGCCTTTGATATCTTCACTTCATAGCATGAAGTGAGGCCAATTTCTGAAGATTTATTTACTGCGTTTAGGATGTAATCAATGCAGTTATAAACGATCACCAATGGATTATACAAAAACTTCCATGTGAGTGGAACTTTCAATTAGGATTCCAGTCACAACAAGACTTATGTCCTGTGGAGATTTCTCATTTGAAGGTAAATATGATTACTATTTATTATTTTAACCTAATTTTAGATATAACAAAACAATAAAGATTTGATTTTCAGTTGGTTCACTGGAATTCACCTCTTAAAACGCGAATAATGAATCGTTACGCAGTACTCTTACGTCGATATTACGACAATGTAAGAGATATGGATGGCAATATATTTCGGTCTAATATAATTCATTGTAATTCTGATTCTGTTAGTTTTCCACTTCATTTTTTTAAATTAAAAATTGAGAAATAAATTTTGAATTAACACATTTGCATATCTGTACACTCTCACCTACATACGTATATAATACATTTATAACTGCGATTTACTGCAAGTAAAAATTTTATCGTATACAAATTATAGTCTCATAAATGACTGCACTGAATGTATTCATTTATTACGACATCTAAACCAGTGCTAATCATCAAATATTTAAGCTAATAAAGATACACTACAAATTTTTTAAATAAAAAAAAATGTGTTAGGGTTTAAAAATAACTTCTCTAGGAACATGTGTATTCAACACTTGACAAAATATCGGAATATGATGACAACGATGATGGATGCAGCGGAATACGACATGCTCGATGGATCACGTATCGGACATTATTGTACGTACGTCCTTACAATTTCAGGGTAAGTCTCGTTAACTATAAAAGATTAATTGGATCCATTCAACAACAGCCTGTAAATTATGTAGCATAATTTATAATATCATGGAATCATTTAGAAACGTCTGAAGGAAAGGTGAGGATATGAGATCAGTCCAAACATTCTTGATGATAGCTTTATTGTGACAACCGTTTTACAGTGTTTTACGTTTTACAATGTAATGTGATGTAATCGTTGTAATTGTGTTCATTCGAGACTTCGTTAGGAGTAATAATAATAACGGTATATTTCTTTGCATCATTACAGCGCCTTCTATGTTAATTAGATCTGATTCAACATTGTGTAGAACTAATCCAAGTCTGAAATTGTTAAGCTGATTTCAGATCACATAACATTTTGAAATTATTGTCTTAAAAGTTCAATATATTGGTATCATTGTGATAATAGGAAAAAGAAGCAACTGAAACGTTCAGGCTACTCCGGAAAATGTTGTTTTGACAACACAGTTCAGCATGGATCGTTTAATGCATTTTAATGCGCTATTGCAATATTGGATTGGACCTATATCGGCTGCTGTTTATGTTACCGATTTGGAGCTTTCGTTGCTAATTCAATTCTTCGATGATACTCTTGGTAATCGAACTAATGTTGCATTACATGCTGTTTATAAAGAAGGCGTTAGTTTTTTTTTTTTTTTTATGCTTTTTAATTCTTCAAATACTTTATAAATTGATCTCAATTTCTTCACTAATATTTCATGTTTTATCTTTTTATTTCACTTACAGACATACTATCCCATAAATTATCTTCGAAATGTTGCATTAAATAACAGCAACGATTCATCATTTGTTTTTTTAGCCGATGTCGATTTCATACCAGGATCAGGTGATCTTTTCTTCTGAAATAATTAAATATCAGTATTAAATTTGTCTAGCCTTAAATTATCTAGTTTTTTTTTTAAATTAAAGTGTCTAGAAGTATTTCACTGTATGGATAATCCTCCAAAGGTCCAATGAGGGAATTAGTAATATGCTTGAAAAAATTCTTGTGTTATTCAATATTTTAATTCTCATGATTATTAGTATCTAACGCTGCTTACGATATACATATTTTATTGTATTCAGAGCTATTTTCAGCAATCCTTCTATCTTTTATAGAATTTTTTTTTTTTAGAAATTTGCATTGTGCCATATTTCAGGATTGTACACAATGTTATGTGAAAAGTTGCTAATAACCAATTCAACAAACAAAAGAGCGTTTGTTGTGCCAGCCTTTGAATATATTGATAATCGAGTTCCAGTGGTTCCTCTTACCAAGAATGAACTGTTAATCGAATTAGATGCACAACGTATACAGATTTTCCGGCGAAATTTATGGATTCAGGGCCATGCAGCTACTGACTATAATCACTGGAGACATGCTGACCAAGAATATTCGGTAATTTTAATGGAAATTGAATCATTTGAAATTTTTTTTTTTCAGTTTCGAAGTCTCTTAATGCTTCTTCATTTTTGCTAACATAAATATTTGTAGGTTTCATGGAAGACTGATTATGAACCATATGTTGTGGTGAAGCGTAACGGTTTACCACCTTATGATCAACGGTTTGTTGGTTTCGGTTGGAACAAAGTATCCCATGTGATGTCACTTAATGCTGCCGGGTGTGTTCATTTTTTTTTATCTACCTCATTTTGCTTTTCCCTCGGTCAATCTTCTAATGTATTTTTTAATATTTTTAAATTTCTTTTTTTCTTCATATCTTTGTTTATTTAACATAAACAGTCATTTCTCATCCATTTTTTGGTTTAATATTAAAGTTATATATTTGTTCATTCTCCTTATCTAAGTATTATTATTAACCATTTAATTCAGGTATGAATTTACTATATTACCGGATGCATTCATAATCCATCAGCCACATTTTCTCTCATTCGAAATGATACGCTACCGTTCGCTGCCGACATATCGTAAATGCTTGAAAGCTCTAAAGGGTGAATTTGTACGTGATTTATTTCGTGAACAAAAAAAGAACCGATTATCTAAAATTTCCAGACATCCATTGAACAATTAATTGTTCTTTTTCTGAAGGTTGCATAAATATCATTATTTCAGTGTGTGTTCTGTTTTCCATTACTTTATAAAAGTGCTTATTTTTAATGTTTTTCACTTATATCACATTAACTAAGCATGTCATCTTATCAAATTTCATCCACTCTCTTAGCTCTTCTTATTTCCATCATATCAACTGAACCGATGTATTTGATTTTATTTTTGAATAATTGAATATTTTTCACCGTTGTCCTTTTCGTTTGCAAACCATCTGTGAATTAAAAATTTCATAACTCCTATGCATATCTGTTAGTTCTATCAATTATTTCAAATCGTGAAAAGAGAAAAAAATGGCAAAATTATGATGCTAGATCCAGTCAAAATTCGATCTCATCTTTCAAATTATTCCAATTGTTCTATTAGATGAGAATGATCCATCATTCTAACCCTAAAGTTCAGGTGTGTTGGGGAACATACTTTTAGCTGGAAGTGTTTTCGACTATATTTTCCAGATGGTCGACTCATAAAAACAAGGAGCAAACTGTTCTGCGAAGCATATTAATGTATAGCAGTGAATCTAATTCTCTCATCAATAATCATGTCTTATATAGGAAGCTATCGCTCAGATTTTTGATCGCATAATTTTCCACGTGAAGAATTTATACGCTAGGACTCAGCAAATTACTAGACTCCTGTAGGATTTCATAAGTAAATTAAATTCTTTCTTCCTTCACTCTTCAAACTGAATAGGTAACTCGAGTTTCAAACCCTAATAAGTTCATTTGATTTGCTGAATCTGTTTATTTTGATTTTGTGGGTCTATTAATAAAAATTTACTTATTGATGAACTATTTGATAAATATTCCCAAGATAATTACTGACCGCGACATCTACATCTCCAAGCACGCGAATCCGTCGGCATTTACATCTCCAAGCACGCGAATCCGTTTTTGTCGGTTTATTATTCTCCTCCATTGAATTTGTAAAGTGGTGAGTGGGATGGATGAGCTCACGAGGAAAGGATATTCCGCGTCTTTGATCTTTCCCATTTATCGCACAATATCTTTTAATAGGAAAAGCAAATGATATGTGTGTGTGTGTGTGTGTGTGTGTGTGCATGTTGACCGGTAATTCATTTATTTAAATATAAATTTAAATACGAACGACATTAAAAGACCTCAAAATGTTCTTACGTTAAAAGACCTCAAAATTTTCGGAAAATGTTCTTACTGCAAAGCTTCGACAATAGAGAAGAGCACAAGATGCAAAAAAAACTTAATCAGTGGAAAGCTGCCGATGTAGCATAAGTACTAAAAGCCACATGTTACAGAGTTACAGAAGATCATTCGATAGACGTATTGTGGTCGAACTTTGAAAGCCACGGCTTAGAAATCATCGATGTAGGTCATGTCATCTAGATCTGTAAAGACTGAGGGTCGAAACATACACACACATACGCAAATAAAATTACTGAAGCAGGGAAGAAATTGAAGAAATTGAAGGGCACTGTTATCTTGAGCAGCAAAGCCAAGTTGATGTCAATTACCCTCAACGAAGGCAGAGTTGCTCATGACAAACGTACCAGCAACCGTGGACACCACCATAAGTCAGATCACACCACCTTCGAATGACCTCTGTCAATCCTGAACTTGTGACCGCCTGGTCGTCAGCCCACCACTCGCCATTTAGCATTCAGCACCGCCCATTTACTCATCCACAAATGAGAACCGCAACACCCACACAACCATTGTCTATACTATCCCGTTCTCTCTGCGCGTGTATGTATGTGTGTGTGTATGTATTTCTACGAATACAAGCATAGGTCATCCAAAAATTGATGGTCACTGACTAACACTGACCTTTGACCTATAAGGTTTTCTACAAAGAAGCTTTTTCCTCCTCACCAAAAAATTTGGTGTTATACGAATGGGTCATTTCGGCTGCAATCTAGAGGTTCATTGATTCGCTGATGCCAGAACAATCCAAATATTCCATCCTATATACTCAGTGCATAATCCTCTTTGTTCTACTTTTCGATGCTAACTCAAACTTTTAAATAAGCAATAACGCGCAACAATTGGAACAAAACAAGTGTAAGAATAAACAAGTTTGATAGGAACAGAAGGAAGCTGCATATGCAATCCATCTCTCTCTCTTACTCTTCCTTTCTTTCTTCACCGTAGCTAATGAAGAAAATGGTCAGTAGACTTAATAAAAGGAATACTGATAGTCTAAATAATGAATCTAATATCATATGTAACACTCCTCAAACCAACGAAGGCAAACCAATTAGCAATATTGCGAAGGAACAAACAGATGGGTTCGGATTTTGCTATAACGGTCACTGAATTATTCATCCCAGCTGGAATAGATGTGACCGACCTTGACTAACAATCTGTCTGCTTTTGATAGTGAATGGGAACACAAGCGTGGATTAAATAGATCGCTGAAACAGACGATAACACAAAAATGGCGCTAAAAGAGATGATTTGAATGGGTCAGATTGCATGAGATTCCCACGCTGTACCGCCAGAAATGATATTATTGAACGGATTGATTTTGTAGATAGTATTGGATGATGTAGAGGGACAGGAGAGGATCAATGTTAGCCACATGCCTCCTCATCTCACTGCAGACGACCGTTTCCCCGGACACAATTACTTTCGTCTCCTCTCACTCTCCTATAATCTTTGTTTTTTTTTCTATGGAAAATTTTATTTGCCCACTCGTTATAATTTGTTCCATCAGTGACAGAGTTTATTGATTACTTAACAAGTAATTAAGGAGATTTTTTCTTCTTTCTACATGTACACTAAACAGATGACAAAAAACTTATTGAGTCAAATGAATTAAACTCGTCTAAATATGATTTCAGTCTATCATTCATCCATCATTTTTCACAAAAAAAAGCAGGAATAAAAGAAAAATACGAGAAGATATCTGGAAACATTCTTTACAAAATATTTCATTGCAGCTATAAAACAACACCGAAATATGACAAACTGATTCCTGCATTAAATTCTTAGCTGAAAAATTTGACTGAGATGAGATAAATGAACAGGAAAACAAATAAACAATATCCACAAATACAAGTCTAAAAGCAGTAATTTTGAATGAACCGGTAAAGGGAGGGATTTGAAAAGTTTCTATAAACTATTCTTGGACACTTAGAAATTAAATCTGCTCAATACACAGAGTCGACCGAATGATCGTTTTTGCACACATTAACAAGACATTTAAGAATGTTGATTTGGAAAGTGTAACTAATTTGTAAGGATGCGCAAATCAAAAAAAAAAAATGAAATACAAGAAAGTATATGCTAAATAAATGTAAATAATTCATAACTTGAGCAATAATAAAATCTTGTAATTTTTTCTCATATCCAGAAAATAAAGGGAGAAAAATTGCTCTGAAACATGAAATGGACGGTTGGAGAAAATGCTGTGCTGATAACTCCATCACTATAAGGATTATATCAAAATCAAATTTTTCTGGGATTAACCTGTAATTAGTCCACGAAATAGTTAATGTGAAAATATTTGAAAAAATATAATTTTGCAATCCGACAGAAAAAGGCAACTTGCTGGATGTCTTATTCAACCTTACTTAATGAGTTTTTGTGCGCAGAAGGCTGTATGAAGCTCAACGTTCATTTCAATTCACTTTGAGTGACATCAATGAATTTTCAGAAATGTATTGTTATCAAGTCAAAAATTTCACTGCTCAATGTCGAATATCCGTCCATAATCGCAGAAGTTTTGCTGAACTGCCAGTTTTACACGTCCTGTTCATTTACCCATTATTTGTTGAACAGATGGTAGTTGTTCCCTCTGTCTTCTCTACGACCGATGTCAGCTTCAACGATGATAAGGTAAGGTTCAAAGAGTAATTGGATTAAAAAGTTATGAAGAAAATTAGAAATGTAAAAGAATGATAATAGGAAGCATAATCGGCTAGCAACGAGTAAATATACGTAAAATCTCGATCATGTACAATGGAAGAAACATTTTGCAATCATTGATCTTACATGTTACAGTATCCGATCCATTACTGTAAATATAACTAAAAATATGTACGTATGAAAATCTAATTGATATCAAATTGTTAAACTGACAAGACGAACTGTTCTTTCTGCTGCTCAAAAAAATATCAATAATCCAATACTATTAATATTTCATTCATCTATTTCTATAACAAATAACATATACTAAGTTTATACTGATAAAAGCTAACATTTACCCGAAGTTGAAAGTAAAACGCATCAATATGTGAAAATTTTTAACTTCCATGAAGACGTTTTCATGGAAGGTAAAAAATCATTTTGTTAGTAATTTTAACAGAAGTTATGGTAGATTAGATGATCATAAAATTTAACTGTGTAACTAGACAGATAAAAATTGCAACACTAAAACTTGTTCCAACAAGGGCTATTAAATAGTAAATAAGTGCCACTGCCAGTACCTCACTACTCTTTCATTTCACAAGCAGTTCACAATTACTATTCTCACAAACGGTAGAAAGATGAGTATAGTACAGAGTAAAAAAAAAAAAAAAAACTTTCTTGTTTTTATACGTTTCTTTTCAATTCTTTTTCATATTTATACAAATTTAGGTGAAAGAAAAATATTTTTCTCATTACAATTACAATGAGAAATTAAATTGTACAAAACATATCAAATAATAATAATACAGTAAAAATTAAAATTTAATAATAGTAAGGTATGATATAATTAACAGGTGAAGAGTGAATAAAAATTAATTCTTTGGATAGATCTAATATGATAATAAAAGCAAAAAAAAAAAACAAGAAGTTTGTTATGAGTGAAAAAAAGAAATGAAGAGAGATGGTATACGATATTTTATCGATAATGATGACATTTTAACACGAGATGACCATAAATATTTATTCCAGTTGAAGATCTACAATGACCTCTAATGATGATAACCTGCTTCTTCCTCCTCTCCTCTCTCTCTCTCTCTCTTTCTCTTTCTCTCTCTCATTCAATGAAAATTGTGTGCTC